AAAACATAGAAGAATCATAAAATAATTATGCTGAGTGAAAGCAGCCAGGCGAAAAAGAGAACACTAGTGATTTCATTAATATAAAATTTTAGAAAATGCAAACTAATCTCTAGTGACAGAAAGCAGATTGTGGCTACCCAGGGATGAGTATGGAGGGTAGGATGGCTTACAAAAGGGTCACAAAGAAACTTTTGGAGGTAATGGAAATATTCATTACCTTGATTGGTTTCACATTTGTATGCATAGGTCCAGACTAATTAAATTATACTCTTTAAATATGTAGAGTTGTTGTACTTCAATTATAACTCAATGAAGTTAAAGGCGAAACACATTTTTAATTTCAATTAACAGAATTCCTATGGTCTGAAATAAGTCTCTACCTCTTTAGAGACTGCTCTGAAACCAGAGATTTGTTATTCCTCATCTAATAATATCAAGAAATGGCCAATCCAGACTGAGGTTGAAGAGGGAAGTGAAAAACAATAGGCAAGTGGGACAGTTTAAAACTACACACAGGTCAAATACGTGAAAAATATATCATTAAACAAGGAAAGTACAGCTAACTTCCTAAATCACATGAAACAAGAAATTTGTGCTGCTCCACGAATACTTGACAGAGAACACTATTTACTCAAGGACATTAATGTAAGGGCTGGACTTACGGGAAACAATGAGGTTCTCCCACATTCAACAGGTTAAAAGTAAATAAGGTTACTGTTTTGTTTTTTTTTGTTTTTGTTTTTAAGAGACAGGGTCCTGCTCTGTCACCCAGGCTAGAGTGCTGTGATCATAGCTCACTGTAGCCTTAAACTCCTGGCCTCAAGTTATCCTCCTGACTCAGCCTCCCAGAGTGCTGGGATTACAGGTGTGAGCCATCTCAAGGTTGTTTTCAAAAGAAAAAACCTCACCACTATACAATTAAAATTAAAACAGAGCAGAGTAGTTCTTCTCAAGCCTTGAGGAAGAGGAAAAGGAACACTAGGAGGGAAGGGAGAGTAAAGGAGAAGTGTTCTCACGCTACCACAAACCTCTGGTTTGGGAAACAGAAGTTTTTGGCTCTCAGAATTTGAGTCCAAACATTAAATCCATTAACAGATTCCCCTTCTCTGATACCATGTTCATCTAGGAATTTTCTGATTTTAATTCTCCCCTATAGCTTGTTTAGGGACAAAATATATCAGTCGGGGTGAAAGTCCAATCCATTTAACAGCTCTATTTCTCATTCTGAGTCAACAAATTTACAGGTGATTCACATAGCAGTCTCTAGCAAGCTTTGGTAGTAGGAATCAATAGAATAAGGAAGTTTGGTGGGATAGGACGAAATGAGTAGTATAGTGGGTCCCTGAAGCTAGTCCTTGGAACAATGCCAGTTCATGACAAATGAAAAAGGATAAGGACAACAGAGGATGTTTTACATAAAGCCAAATTTAACACGAGATTATGTCCTTCTCAATTTTTAATACTAAAATATCCTTCCTTGATTAAAATTATAGTAATTATAGATGATGTTCAGTGTCCTCACTTGGCAAAATATAAAGCTGATAAGCCTGTGTTTTCGAGTCCCAAAATCTTTTTCAAATGTCACTGATTTGTAAATCACAAATTCTAGAAACCACTGGGTTGACAGGTAATAAATAGTAAGTGTTCCATAAAACAGTTACAGAGTAACTTCCAAATTATCTAGGAGGTAGCAAGGGCACCACTCACAGAGCTTGAGGTCAAAATGCTTCATTAGCAAGAATAACAGGCAAATGGATAGATTTCTATTTCAACAAACCATTTTTTTTACCTAATTCATTTACTGAATGGCCATTAATAAATAAAAACATCAGCTCATTTCACAAGTTGTTAACTTCACAGTTAGAAATTCTCTTTCTGCTCTCACAAAAGGAATCAAGATAATCAAGATAAAAGATTAAGAAAAACTGCACAAAGTTTTATTGAGCACCAGACATCACACTAAACTTAAGAACAGTTCTCTAGAAACAAGTAACTGATCATTTTGCATAGTTCCACTTTCAGATTCAACTTGCCCAAGAGCTACATATTGAAGAGGACAACTTTAGAGGCAAAGGAAAATACCAATTCTTAGACCAGGCTTAAACAGATTAAGGGAGAAGGGAGGGTGTGGTTCTTATCACAAGATCAAAACCAGAGCTTCTAAACCCTCTAATGCACTGTAAAAGGGTTCCAGGTATGTGAGACAACACAGGGGGCTCCTCCCGTGAGCAGCCTACTCTTGTTATATTCCAGGATGCCCTCTAGAGATGAGAATTGTCTACATGTGCCATGATGTGAATGACTGAGAAGCATTTGGTTTAGATCAAAACCAATGGTTCCCAAATAAATACCAGGTTGGCTGCATAAAAACAAGCTGGCAAGTGCTAAAATTATGGATTCTTGGGTTCTATTTGATTTCAATTCAGAAGATCTGGGGAGAAGCCTAGGAATCTGTATTTTAACAAGTATACAGACAATTCCAGTAAGTGATCAAATTTGGAAAACACAGAGCTAAATTATCCACACAAAGGTTAAAATATTATTATTCAGTTTAAGGGAAATATTAAAATGAGTCAACAAAACTGACTAACTCAGCAACACAATTATAAAATAGAAGTGAGAAATAACTGTGGTCACAAGTGGATCAGCTTGTTAGCATAGAGATGAGATTTGGCTTAGGGAGCCACAGATATAGACACTAAAAGGAGGACAAGAATGAATGAACGTGAACATGTGGCTTACTGAATGGATAAACAAATAGGAGGGTAGCCCAAAACTGGGCAGAATGCAGGGAAAGCAAATAACAAAACCAAAGAAAAAGAGAGTGGTCAGCAAATAAGGGGAGGTTAATCAGATTCTTAAAAGTTTAAGTTTACCATATTCTGTGTTGAGGCCCCATAATTTCACTTTATTAGCTTCATACTGGGCTTTTTTCTTTAACCGACAAGCTCTGTGAAAGGAAGGAGCAATTAGTTCACTTTCTTTTTTACGTAAATATTCAGAATATTATTTTTTGCTGCTGTCAGACATTTTCTCATAGCACCCAAAAATCACTGCCTACTGATGTTTATCAAAGAATTGAGTTACCAAAAACACAATACAATCATTTATCCAAATTAATATTTGAAAATTTAGCACACATTTCAAAAATAAAACTATGACTAGTATATACCTATTATAGTGGCTAAAACAAAAATAAACAAAAACTGACAATATCAAGTATTGCAGAGGATGTTAAGCAAGTGGAACCCTCATATGTTGTAGGTAGGAATGTAAAATAATACATACAGCTACTTTGGAAAAGAGTTTGGCAGTTTCTTGTAAAGTTAAATATATACGCTTAGGTATTTATCCAAGAGAAATGAAAACTTTATGTTTACACAAACGCCAGTAAGTTTATGATGGTTTTATTCATAACTGCCCCAAAGTGGAAGCAATCCAAACATCCCTCAATTGGTGAATGGATAAATTGTAGCATAGCCCTACAAAGGAATACTACTTGGCAATAAAAAGGAACAAACTATTACTACTCCACACAACACTATGGATGAATCTCAAATGCATAATGTTAAGTGACAGAAGCCAAACTCACAAGGCCACATACAGTATATTCCATCTACATGACATTCTGGAAAAGGCAAAACTGTGAGGACAGAAAACAGGTCAGTGGTTATGAGGGACAAAGGGTGCAAGAAGGGGTTTGCTTTTACAAAGAGGAATGAGGAAACTTTTTAAGATGATAAAAATGTTCAGTATCTTGATTGTAGTGGTGGTTATATGATTGGATATGTTTGTCAAAACTCAAAAAGTATACGTTAAAAGGGATAAATTTTACTGTAAGTAAATTATACCTCAATAAATCTGACTTACTAAAAAAGCAAACAAAAAATAAAGCTATAACATTTTTTATTGTTATCCTATAATATAATGCACTTGAGTTCATTTACTTCTCCCGCTTAAAAACTTTTTTTTTTTTTTTTTGAGACAGAGTCTCGCTCTGTTACCCAGGCTAGAGTGAGTGCCGTGGCGTCAGCCTAGCTCACAGCAATCTCAAACTCCTGGGCTCAAGCAATCCTTCTGCCTTAGCCTCCCAAGTAGCTGGGTCTACAGGCATGTGCCACCATGCCCAGCTAATTTTTTCTACATATATTTTTAGCTGTCCAGATAATTTCTTTCTATTTTTAGTAGAGATGGGGTCTTGCTCTTGTTCAGGCTAGTCTCGAACTCCTGACCTTGAGCGATCCTCCCGCCTCGGCCTCCCAGAGTGCTAGGATTACAGGTGTCAGCCACCGCGCCCGGCCTTAAAAACTTTTTCTATAAAGCATAAATACCATCTTTTACTTTTGAAGGAAAAATTATAATATTCTCATTGTAGTCTTTTTTAAATTTAAAAATTTTTTTTAGAGATGGGGTCTTGCTCCGTCACCCAGGCTGGAGTGCAGTGGCATGATCATAGCTCACTGCAAAGTCAAACTGTTGGCCTTAAGTAATCCTCCCCCCTTGGCCTCCCTGAGCAGCTGGGACTACAGGTGTGTGCCATCACGCCCAGCTAATTTTTTCACTTTTTTGTAGAGACAGGGTCTCACTATAATGCCCAGGCTGGTCTTGAACTCTTGGCCTCAGGAGATCTTCCCACCTCAGCCTCCCAAACTGCTGGGATTACAGGCATGAGCTACTGCGTCCTGCCTCATTGTGGTCTTAATACAAGAAAAATATAATTTCTGAATAATGTTTGAAGGTCACCTCCTGTAAGAAACTCACTTAGGGTCTAACCTCAGCTCCTAGACTTTATTCACCTAAGTGAACATTATTAGCATTTACCTGGAAGCCAGCTTATTTTTTTCCTTCCTTGACCTTGGCCGGGCTGTTAAGGGAAGCTCACTGACTGGAGTCAGATCACTGATCACCTTATTCAGCTTCCGTAGTTCATTGCCTATCTGGAGTAGTTTTTTAGGATTTGGAGTCAGGTCTTCCACATCAGTTCTCCGTGACTTCTTTACTGCATATTTTCCTGTAGTTTAAAAGATGCTTAAATTAGATCATTTTAAGTAACAAGAGATACATTTTCCACAGCCACATTTTAAACCACTCATTCGCCACCACCCTTTCTCTTCGGAAGTCTTGGCATGTTTCAGAAGTCTCAGCATGTTTAATGACCTATCCGGGAAGGGCTAGCCTCCTCTCCTTCCCACACTGTGGCTAAAAGAAATGGGAGTGATAAGGTATGGTTCTAACCTTTTCAAAGGTTCTTCTCTACCCTAGAGTTTCTAGTCCCAGTATAACAGATTCTTAATTATTTGCATGGCAGTACTAAGCATCTCGAATATGAGGAATGGAGTGCAAGTTCAACTGCACGCAAATATCAGGGCTAGGTTGTAATATGGGGTTAGAAGAGAGTTTGGAGATTTTACCCAAACCCAGATGTCCTAATGCTATGTCTGAAAATTTGTCAGAAATACACATTTTTCTGTTGGACTCAAAAATCCAACAAGTAAGGATCACCTTGTTTGAAAGCTCTTCTTCAGTTGCTTTCATAAATAACATTATGGAAGACTCAAGGGGTCTTGCCCTATCATTCCAGGCAAAAAGGATGGGAATGGCTCTGTTCTCTGAACTTCTACAGTATCCTGAACAACTTTCCTAGTACTTATCATGTGATAACTGGAATTATTTATTGGACTTATCTTTTAATTTCTGGTAGAAAATTGATCTGAAGGCAAAAACTCAGTAATTATTCACTGAGAGACAGTAGAGTACAGACCTGGGTCTAGTGAAGGGAAAATGAGGCACAAGTGTATTTCAGATCCAATTTCTGTCCTCAAAAATCCTTAGCGACTTCAATCTATAGCACAAGTGAATACTAAGCTGTTTATTGACCATCAAGCTTACTAGTAGTAAGCTTACCAGTACTAGTACGAGATTACTCCCCACCTTTTTTGGTAAAGACTTTAGATTAACGTAAAAATAACACCTGTGCAGGAGGAATTCTGCTTAATCACAGCTCCCTGAGTTCTTAATTCAAAATTTAACCTACCTAAGATTATAAACGTCTCCCAATTCCTACTACAGGTATTCAACTCTTCTCTACTACTACTCCTCTTCTCCATAACTATTCCTTCTTTCTTTACTTTCCCTCTCCTTTTCTTCTATCACTTTGATTCCCATCTCCCCATTTACATTTAGGTCTGGATGAGAATGGAAGAAAGAAACACTAGAGCCCATTCACTTTCTCCCCAACCCTTCTGGTTATAGAAACTGTGAGAGGTCAGGAACCAGAAGCCTCCTGGATGGGGTAAGCAGAGTAAGAAGGGATTAGAGGCCAGGGGCAGTGGCTCATGCCTGCAGTCTTAGCACTCTGGGAGGCCGAGGTGGGAGGATCACTTGAGGTCTGGAGTTAGAGATCAGCCTGAGCAAGAGTGAGACCCTGTCTCTACAAAAAAATAGAAAAACTAGCTGAGTGTGGTGGCATGTGTCTGTAATTCCAGCTACTTGAGAGGCTGAGATCACTTGAACCCAGGAGTTGGAGGTTGCAGTGAGCTATGGTGACGCCACTGCACTCTAGCCCAGTGACAGAGCGAGACCCTGTCTCAAAAAAAAAAAAAAGAAGGGACTAGAAATGAAATAGTGTTTACAAAGTCCTTCCTCCCTGCTTGGGTGGTGGTTCTCAATACAGGTAAAAGCTATTTGTAAGCAAAAAGCGTCATACAAATACAGCAGCTCTATACTTCCCGTCTCCAATTTGCTAGGAAGGGTTGCATACCTAGGTATACCTAGTAAGCATTATGGTTTAGTACCTCTATTTAAAGTGACATTAAATATATGACTGCAATCCCCTCTTACCATGATGTAAGCCATTTTTCTGATACATATTACTTGGCAAGGTGTCTCGGTTCCACTCAGAGGGCCTCAGCATTCTCTCTTGCTGTGATGGTGTAAGTTGTTCACTATACTCCCAGAAGTACCTTCTTTTACCTCTCTTCCGAGAAGATATTGAAGTCATCTCCTTCAAGTCTTCTACAGAATCATTTTCATAGCCTTGAAAAAAAAGCCCCCCAATTTTTTAAAGATTATAAATTTCAATAAACCAATCAGGACAAACAAAAAGATCCCTTCTATTTGTAACTTTTTTGGATGAAAGGTACATTCTTTTCATCTGAAAACACCACTGGCATGTCAAGGGTAATAAACCTGGTCTATAAAACAGCTTTTACATTGTAAATTCCTAACTCATAAGCTATTCAGAGATTAATAAACACAGATAACTACACTGTTTATATTCCTTGGGTTTCTCTTTGGTTTTTATAAGTTAGCATATGATACTTTTTTTGGTGTCTTCACATAGGATTGAAAGAACAATTAAACATAGTTACAGGAACATCAAAAGTACCATAACTTAAACACTATATTGCAACTTTTAAAAGTCTTCCTTCTAATAGTTATGTATCTAAAACATCCCAGACAGAAAACTGGGTGTACTTCTATGATGTTGTCCTACTAAGGTAGAATTTTCTGAGGCAATAGTGGTTTTCATCCTACCTCCCACCCTACCACTTTTGGAAAAGTACAAAGGATGATAGTTCTCATACAGGCTATCAAATAAAAACTTATATACCTATTCTAGCTAATATTTTACTGGAAGCAATCTGCATTAACTTCACTTTTTAAGAAGGAGGTATTTTCCCTACAAATGGGATGTTTCAGAAAATACTTAATTCTGAGCTGTGAGAGCTCTTGATCAGACTCAATACAGTATGACATATAAATCTAAAATATCCTCAAAGAATGGCCTTCTTAGATGTATTCCACATCATTAATGCTACGTACACAGGCCATGCACAGGATGTACATAATCCCAAACCTAAAGTAACCAGGAAAAAGTGGCACTGGCTAAGCAAAATGGTTATCATCTCTCCTAAATACATAGCTCCTATGGAATTGTCACTAAGAAAGTGACGATAGCTGTTCGTTTTGGGGAAAAGTTTGAATTTAGAATTTTAGCAAGTTTTCTTCAGAGTAAGAATCAGGAATACACTTCCATTTCCATGACATTCTGGAAAAGGCAAAACTATAGGGACACAGTGGTTGCCTAGGGGTTAGGGGTGGAGGAAAGGGATGACTATAAAGGAACACGAGGGAATTTGGGGAAGCGATCAAACTATTCTGTATCTTGATTGTGGCGGTAGTTACATGACTACATGATTTGTCAAAACTCACAGAAGTTTACACTGCAAGAGGGGTGAATTTTGCTGTATGAAAACTGTATCTCAACAAACTTGACTTTTAAAAGAAAGAATCAATTTGGAAAGCAGAATGATTTCTGAGCAACAGTCAAGACAAGTCTTTGAGGCCAGGTACAGTGGCTTACACCTGTAATCTCAGCCTTTTATGAGGCCAAGGTGGGAGCACTGCTTGAGGTCAGGAGTTCGAGACCAGCCTGAGCAAGAGTGAGACCCTGTCTCTACAAAAAAACAGAACAACTAGCCAGGCATGGTGTCATGCACCTGTAATCCCAGCTACTCAGGAAGCTGAGACAGGAGGATCTGTTGAGCCCAGGAGTTAGAGGCTGCAGTGAACTATGACACCACTGCACTCTAGCCGGGGTGACAGAATGAGACCCTAAAAAAAGACAAGCCTTTGTAGCACTGCTGGTATTAACATCTTCATGTTAGTGCACATGTGGTACTTTAAAACAATATGGCAAGCAGTGTGACAGTGAACCTTAGGTGGTTCTTAAAAAATGATGCACAAGTTGAGTGACACAGTCATTTCTAGAAGTTTAATTTTTTTAAAAAAACTGTATATAAGATAAATAAGGCAATAGCTTTGGCCTATTTATGTGTGCTCACGTTTCATTTCAAATTAAAGGGTTTCATCTTGTTCTAGTTATCAACGGAGCTTTGGAAAAGATGCAAGAGCCACACTGTGTCACTAGAAATGGCTCTTTTAAAAAAGGCCCTTGTTCCACTAGGGTAACAAAATTATTAGCTCACAGAGATTACCCTATTTTGACTGAGAACACCTCAAAACAGGCAGATGCACCAACCAAAACACTCTATCATTCTATCAATATCAGTAACTGGTGTTACACACTTAAGTCTACCCCCAGCCCAAAGCTTAAGGGAAAACTTGGTACATACAGACAGCTTCTTCAGGCAACTTCTCCCCAATACTTTATTCGATATGCTCCCTTAGCTAGCAACTACCTTTGCCTATCCCCAGGTGGCCTGGATTTCTCGCAAAACATTGTCCCCCTCACATAATATACTCACATATTTCATTTGAGACTTTTAAGGACATGGTGAGGAATAGATTATTAACCCTATTTATACAAAGCAAAACACTCATGGAGACTTGGCATGATTTGGCACAGCTGGGACTGAGACAGGCCCCAGGACTCAAAGAGTCTAGTTCCAGGTGGGCTTCCCACTGTGCTTGTGCCTAACTATTTAAATGGTCTAAATGGATTTTTTTCACATATATTTCACGTAGAGTTTAAAGAATCCTCAATATTATTTATTTCCTCTGTCCTACCCAAATTAGTTACTAATTTTACTTACAAACGTTCAGCCTTTTTCCAAAAAGTATTTAAGGGCCATCAGTTTTCTTTGACCTAATACCCTAACATTTTTCTAATAGCATACGCCGTAAATTCACCATCTCTCTCTCTCTCTCTCTCTCACACACACACACAAACACACACACAATTTGTTGGCTAAAGCCATCTACCTTTCAATAAAGAATCTATCATGATCAAAGAGAATGCAGAAAAATCACACTGCTAAATTACTGGTCTAACATTTAGGGTCATTAAATATTTCTCAAAGTATGTTATGAGGGACACTATTACCATAAGATATGGCTTCAACTCCAAGTAAATTCTGTGGTCAAGTAAGTTTAAGGAACTCGTATCCTGTGATCCTGAAACTCTTATACTGTGATCCTCTTGCCAAATCACAGTACACACAGGCATATTAAAAGACTCTCCAAGAAATCGTAACAGTAAATAAACCCGCTTAACTCTAAGTTCTATGAAGACAAAGATGATGTCTGCTTTGTTCATATCTGTACAGCCAATATCTAATATACACGGTGCCTGATGCAAAAGTAAGCACTCGAAAAACTTTTTGTAACAAATCGATGATTTTGTTTAATACAACATTTCCCTCGGAGTCCTCTCCCTTTTCCTCTGATATATTACTATCTTGATCTAACTCATTCCTTCCTGATAAGATATCAAAGGCAGTCAAAAAGATCACATTTACTGCCTAAAATTCCAATCACACATCTCTGGTTAGTGCAGACTGCTGCCTTTAGTAAAGTAAACTGCGAAAACATTTAGTGGAGATTACAAAATAAACTCTTATTCTGGGAACCCAATTCTTAGTCTCAGAACCATGTAATTTCACGACTCCAAACAGTTCTAGCCTGTTCACAGAATAGGCTCTATTAAAACTTGGGAGCCAGTCCAGAATGGGGACTAAAACTCCATTTTGCACCTTTCCTGAAACTCTGTAGGCTCATGAACTGTTGTAGGCATCTGCCAAAAAATAGCATCAAGGGAGCTAGTCATCACAAAAGGGCCTTTGTAAACTGTCTGCTATAAATCAAACCAATCAACCCACCCTAAAACTGGCACTCTGAAGAAACTATAGCTATCTTTACTCTTTCAATTCAAAGAAATTCTTTGTTTTTTACCAAAAACTCACTTTTGCATCCCTGAAGTCACTTGTTTAACTTTTTCTTCCAAGAAAAGGAGAAATCTTTATTAGCAAATGTGAATAAAGCTCAAATAATACTAGAAAAGTGTGTTAATTTGTAGTTAAAGTTTGTTGCTTATTAACATTTGTGAGAACTGTCCAACTAATATTAACCAAAAGGATTTTACTTCAAGTCAACTGAAGTGAATGGCTTAAATGCCATGCAGAAATCTAACATCATTGTTAAATAGGTCCAAGAAGAGAACTTGACCATACCAAGTTGCCAGGTAATGCATAAAGCCACTGCCTCTTGAACAGCTAGTAGTCTGAAAAATAAGGAAAAAAAAAGAAAGAAAGAAAGAAAGAAAAAAATAAAGCCATTGCCTGGTTATGTAAGACCAAGAGGGTAACAAAAAGGGTTCTTCCAAAAGGGACAGGGGAAGATAATGTGCAACGTCAGAACAACACCAACTGCAACACTAGTTCCCCCTCTCTGTGAGAGTCAAAGGGCTGAGAAAATAAAAATAGAGATCAATTAACCATGCGACCTCTCTTTATGAACCTCTTTATCTTACATCCAGATGGAACCCAGTCAAAGGATCAAGGATAAATTTCAAATGGTATTAAAAGTCAAAGAAAAGGATGAGACCCCAAGCTTCAAGATGGCCCCCATGGTCCCAAAGCTAGCCCTCACATCCCCAGGATGGCCCCACAGACCCAGGAGGCCCACTGCAGCACCAGGGCAGGTCCCTGCAGACCTAGACTCCAGGTCACACTCACATTCCCAGGCACCAGGCCTGCCCTAGTGGATCCCAGCGCCAGGCTGGCCAATGGAGTCAGGACCAAGTCTACCCCTGCAGATGCAGATGCCAGGCAAGCCGCTATGGACTTGGGCTCAAAACACACCCCAGTCTCAGGTCAGCTCCCATGGACCCAGGTTTCAGGCTGGCCTCAGCTGACCCAAGCTTCAAGCCTGCTCCCAAAAATCCAAGCGCCAGGACAGCCTCTGCAGACCCAGGTTCCTGAGCCAGGCATCAGGCCAGCCTACCACCCAAGGACTCTAGCAACAGGCTTGCCTGCAGACTCCTTCAGCTGGCCCGCCCAGAATCCTCTGGATGGGCTGACAAATGAAGGATTTTCCCTGGCAAAGGTAGTCTGTAAAGTGGAAGAAGTGTTTACATCTTCCAATGCACAGACACAAATTCAATGCCACAAGGATCACAAGTAATCAGGAAAACAAGACACTGGCAAAGGAACAAAATAAAGTACCAGCAACTGATCCGAAATAACAGATCTATAAACTTCCTGACAAAGAATTCAAAATAATTGTCTTAAAGAAGCTTAGTGAGCTACAAGAGAACACAGATGTATAACTAAATGAAATCTGGAGCCACAGAACACAATGACTGAACTAAAAAATTCCACATAGAGCTTTGACAGAAGACTTACTCAAGCAGGAGAAAGAATCACTGAGCTCAAAGACAGGTTATTTGAAATTACCCAGTTAGAGGAACAAAAAGAAAAAAACTGAAAAAGAATGAAGAACGCCTATGGGACTTACGTGACACCATCAAACAAAACAATATGCATATTATAGGAATACTGGAAGGAGGAGAGAAAGAATAAGGCACAGAAAGCTTACTTAAGGATGATACTGGGCATGGTGGCTCACACCTGTAATCCCAACAGGAGGATAGCTTAAGTCCAGGAGTTCAAGACTAGCCTGGGCAACATAATGAGACTCTGTCTCTACAAAAAATTTTTAAAAATTAGCCATACACAGTGGTGTGTGCCTGTAGTCCTAACTACTTGGGAGGCTGAGGTGGGAGGATTGCTTAAGCCCAGGAGTTGGACATTACAGTGAGCTATAACTGCATCACTGCACTCCAACCTGGGTGAAAGAGCAAGACTCCGTCTCTTAAAAAAAAAGAAAAAAGAAAAGAAAAAGGAAAGAAAGAAAGAAGAAAAAATGACAGAAAATTTCCTAAATTTGGAGAGGGTAATGAACATCCAGATACATGAAGTTCAAAGAACCGTAAATAGATTAAACGTAAAAATATCTTCACCAAGATATATTATAATCAAATTCTCAAAAGTCAAAAAAAAAAAAAGAATTTAAAAAGCATCAAGAGAGAAGCAACTTGTTACAAACAAGGAAACCCTCATAAGACTCATAAGACTATAGTGGTTTTCTCAACAGAAATCTTGGAGGCTAGAATAGAGCGGAATAATACACTCAAAGTGCTGAAGGGACAAAAAAAACCCTGCCAACCAAGAATACTATACCCAGCAAATCTGTCCTTCAGAAATGAAGACAAGATAAAAACTTTCCCCCCAAAAAAGTAAAGGCTGAGCGAGTTCATCACCAGTAGGCATGCATTGTAAGAAACGCTAATGGAAGTTCTTCAAGTTGAAATGAAAGGATGATAACTAACAAGAAAATCTATTAAAGTATAAAATTGACTGTATAAAATTAAGAATATAATCATATTCAGAATGCCCTAATACTGTAATGGTGGTACGTATAACACTTTTAACTCTGGTATAAAAGGTAAAAGACAAAGGTACTAAAAATAATTATGGATACAATAATTTGTTAGTGGATATACAATATAAAAAGATGTAAATTGTGACATCAATAACATAAAATATAAAGGGTAGAGTTTTTATATACAGTTGAAGTTAAATTGTTATCAGCTTAACACACTGACTGCCACACTAGAACAAATTTTCTTTTCTTGAGGCCATGGTGTTTTATTACGAAAATAGAATAAAAACTTCAAAAACAAAACAATCCTTTTAATTTATTGAAAAAAGTGTTATTTTTTATTGTTTTCTGTGTGTGAGTTATATGCAACTTGAAAAATAGTTCATAGGGCTCCCAAGGTAAAGAAATGTGTGAGTTACATATGCCCCAGGCTCAAAACTAGCATGAGTTAAATACAATTCACATGGCAGTTAATGTGTCAAATGTTCTTACCACCACCACCACCAAAAAAAAAGGTAACTATATGAGGTGATAGATATGTTAATTATCTTGATTATGGTAATCAATTCACAATGTATACATATATCAAAATACCATGTTTCATGTTGTATACCTTAAACATGTACAATTTTTATTTGCCAAGTAATACCTCAATAAAGTTGAGGGAAAAAGTCAAAGAAAAGCAAAACTACAACAAAAAGTGGGGTAGATAATATAGTCCTTGCTGCCTTGGTGATTTACTGACTACCTCTGATCTATATATTCCTTTAAGTACCAGCTGGCAAAGACATTTCCTTCCCCACATTTTCCATTTCTTTGGTTATTACCCACCCCCTTTTTGTCTCACTCTTCCCCTACCCTCTTACCCTAATCCTAAATAGAAAACTAAAGCAATAGCCCTGATCTGTCAGACTTGAAAGACCACTCAGGGACAGCACTATGATATTCCAAGTGAAGGTAACTATATAAATTACACCCACCTACAAAGACCAGTCTTGAAACATCTTAAAGCAGATTTTATTAATCTGCCAAAAATTGCCCTGTTTAGTGAAAAAGACAATTATTCTATCTAGACTATATAGAGTTCTAAAGCAAACCAAAGAAAACTCAGACCTGGGGGGGGGGCACCAAGGGCAACATACGCAACCTAAACATCTATACCCTCATAATATGCTGAAATAAAATAAAATTAAAAAAAAGTACCTTTTGCTTACTTGAACCTCTACCCAAATCAAACAACTATGTCAAATGCATAAATTTAAGCATTTGTGTAACAGAAAGATTTCACCAAATGGAGAAAGTCTTTCAGCAATAATAGTGCTTCACTGGCTACAATATAGCTACTGTGCCTTAAACACTGTTCAGAATATTAAATATCAATATTTATACTGCCTGAAATTCTAACAATCATCACTATAACAAAACGGCTCTTTGATAATTTATAAAGTTTTTTCTTAATAACTTAGTTTCTATGCAGAATTATTAGTATCAACACTATTTTTGAAGAAAACTTTTAAGTTTGAAGATCTTCATTTCTTTGTACATTTTTAAATGTGTGCCACTTGGCAATACCATTTTCACAAATAAATTGCACAGGCCAACAGTGGCAAAAACCCAAGCATGTAAATGCTTAAGTGAACCAGTTCCCCACAGATTTCATTTTCTTTGTCCCTTTTATATATATGCACTGTATATAAATAAAACAGAGTCTCCTTCATGCTCATCAAATTATAGCATATATTTTCCTTAAATAGGAAAATATTCTGTATATAAAAATGCAGCAGACACACAAAAAAAGCTCTCTTTCAGCAAGGCGCAGTGGTTCATGCCTGTAACCTACCACTCTGGGAGGCCAAGGCAGGAGGATTGCTTGCACTCAGGAGTTTGAGACCAGCCTGAGCAAGAACGAGACCCTGCTCTACTAAAAACAGAAAAATTAGCTGGGCATTGTGGCACACACCTATAGTCCCAGCTGCTTGGGAGGCTGAGACAGGAGGATGGCTTGAGCCCAGGAGTTTGAGGTTGCAGTGAGCTATGATGATGCCACTGCACTCTACCTGGAGTATAGAGCGATAGTCTCCAAAACAAACAAACAAAAAAAACCAAAGCTCTCTTTTACATTATTTATAAGTAGGCTTTGTTGCTTATAGGCATGAGTAATATAAACCATTATCATTTGGTTCACCATTCTGGATACTCCTAACTTATCTCAACTACAATAGAGGGACACAAGCATAAACAGGAGCATTTTTCAAACGAATAAATTCCTGGCATCTTTGCACAAATGTCAAAGAGAATGACAAAGTCACTTAACATAAGATAAATTAAGAGTAAGCCCTCAAGGAATCAGCATGAACTACTATATGAGCAAAATCATCATTTTAGAACATAAAAAAAGAATTATAGAAAAATACAAAAGCAATTATATATCCAAACCAAGATATCAAGTCATTTAATCCCCAAACTAAAATAAAGAAATCATCCAAACAAAAACTTTCTATTTCAAAATAGTAATAGAAAGTCAGCTTGGTAAGCATCCAAGCATTGTAATACCTGGTTCAGAGAAAGTATCACTAATATCATCATCCTTGTCATCTTCATAATCCTCTTCTTCCTCTTCCTCCTCCTCATTTTCAGACAGTTCATGCTCACTGCCAAACCCTTCATCGTGGTCCTCATCATCAACATCCTCCTCGTCCTCCTCATCTTCTTCAGGACTGCATTTGGTTGGCTGTTCACTCAAGTTGTCAGAGACAAAAAGAGAATAATTGTGCTCTTCTTTTTTCTGGGATGAATCTGAGACCAATGTGCTGGCAGAAAGGCTGCTACTCTCTCCTGCTGCAATTGACCCAGGACCCTCCTGGGGCAGGGGACTGAGTAATAGTTCCTGGGTTTCTTTAAAAGGCAAAGCAGGAGTGGCATGACCTTGAAGAGTCTCCATCCCTTTTTTCTCTTGTCTCTTTGCTACCACACCACAGTAGCAAGTGTTCTCCTTTGCTGCATCTGAGTGAACCTGGCTCAACAAGGGCCGGCTCTGTTGTACTGGGTTGATCTTTACCTTTGCCTTTTTTACATACTCCTTACATTCAACATGAAAGTTCACCTTTTCATTATGATACATGTTGGTCTTCACCATGATTTGTGTGCTTGAAGTGGGTTTACTTGCTTTTTGGACACAGTCTGACAAAGGAACCTCAGCCTGCAGAATCTTAGAAGAACATACAGGGGCAGCTGCTCTGCTTGTGATCTTTTTACCAGGGAATGAAGAGGGTAAGGGATTTTGTTTGACACTGAAAAGTGAATCAGGGTAATAAAGGGAGTCAGAAACAGACTGTGAGTCTTCACTATTAAGCTGGGCTAAAGTTGGAGTTTTACTTATGACCTCTTCATCCTGGTAAGGACTAGAAAAGTCATCAAGACCCAAGTAATCCACTTCTTTTGTTCCCCAGATGTCACAGCTGGTTAGTTTGGTGTACTTTGTTAAGTCTTCACAGTATGTATCCCACTGTTCCCAGTTTGAGGTTAAAGCACCCTCATTATCCAGGACATCTGTGAAAGACTCCAGATTTTCAATGTCTTTGCAGTCCTCTAAAGAAAAGAAGTTGTCTCTAGGATTCTGTTGGTAGTTCATCTCTCTATCCTGAGAAAAGTTTAAAAAAAGAAATTACATACCATATTTTTGGAAGGAAATAATTACCTCCATCCTCACTTATATATATCAAATTGATAAATCAGTACTCAACTTTTGGTCTGTTTTAAGATAAAGGCTACTGACATGACACTTTACCATTCCATATAATGTCTTAATTTCCTTGGGCAAGAGAAAAAAAAGAGGGAAATATGTCCCTTGAAAGACTTAGGTATTATCTAAGTACTAAGGGCTCTTGAGCTTTACCACAAACACTCTTCCTGAAAAAAAGTTTACACTTCCTCATCTTAGAAGCATTTTAGGGTCTCCTTAGAAATAAGCTTCAATTAAAAGCAAATAAAGACGACCTTACCTTCACTACAGAAGAATATGTCTTTTTAAGTGGGTATTTAAATATAGAGGCAAAGAGCAACCCAAAAGAGTTGATCTCAAACATGTATTGGTAAGATCCTTTGCAAGACATTATAACAATGCTTGGGCATGTGGAACAAAACACTCCTCATGCGTTTTAGAGATGTGATTTTAAAATATCAGTTAAGATATTGCAGCCATTGAAAAGAATGAAGTTTAGCTCTAGTGTGCCTAACAATATATTTTTATGTTAAAAAGAGCAAGTTACAGAATACTGTTATCTATAAACATATTATCCAATTGAAAAACATACACATGTATCTATACATGCATAGAAAAAAATGTTAGCAGCAGTAACCTGTTGGGAAAAGGCTTGGAGGGGGAGGCTCAGGAAGGAAATGAGGAAGTTTTCAGTTTTCCAGGGTTTATTTGTTCATTTGGATTTTTTTGCTTTGTTTTGTCTTGACTTGTATGTGTGTCTCTGTGTGTGGTTTTCTTGTTCTTTTACTTTTGAGACAGTGTCTTGCTCTGTTGCCTGGGCTAGAGTGCAGTGGCATCATCATAGCTCACTGCAACCTCAAACTCCTGGGCTCAAGCAATCCTCTCGTCTCAGCCCTCTGAGTAGCTGGGACTATAAGCACATGCCACTACACCCAGCTAGTATTTTTAAAAATCATTTGCAGAGGTGGGGGTCTCCCTATGTTGCTCAGGCTGGTCTCAAACTACTGGCCTCAAGCGATTCTCCTACCTCAGTCCCCCAAAGTACTGGGATTACAGATATGAGCCACTATGCTAGGCCCTCTATGTGTTTTAACAGATTTATTGAAGTATAGTTTATATACCATGAAATTCACCTGTATTAAGTGTACATACAATTCACTAATTTTTAGTAAACTTATAAATTTGTGCAATTTTCCAGTTTTTGTACATTTATGTGTTGCTTATACTGTGTGTAATTAAAATTCTTTCTAAAAGTTTTTCTGGGCCAGGTGCAGTGGTTCAACATCTGTAATGCTAACACTTTGGGAGGCTGAGACAGGAGGATCGCTTAAGCCCAGGAGTTCGAGACTAGTGTGAGCAACACAGCAAGACCTGGTGGTCTCTACAAAAACAAAACAAAACAAAACAAAACAAAAATTAGTCAGGTGTGGTGGCACGCACCTGTAGTCCCAGCTACTCAGGAAGTTGACGCAGGAGGATCACTTGAGCCCAGGAGGTTGAAGATGCAGTGAGCTATGATGACGCCACTGCACTCTAGCCCAGGCAACAGAGTAAGACCTTGTCTCAAAAAATAAAATAAAATAAAATGTTTTTCTTAGGAATTTAAGTGTCTATTTACCTCAAGAATAAATGGTAAGTATATTCAGATATTGCTTAGAATTGCTACTTTTGTGCCACATTCCCTATGTCATACCCCTCATGTTATCATTTCTTATTTTTCCAGCTGCAAAAGCCCTTCGGCAGTCAGGCATAGTTTAAAAAACAGATAGTTTCCCATTCTCCTCATCAAAACTGGACTTGAAGATATTTAGATAACCTTTTCTCTTACTATTTTTAACGGGCTGGGCATGGTGGCTCATGCCTGTAATCTCAACACTTTGGGAGGCCGAGGCCAAATGATTGCTTGAGGACAGGAGTTTGAGACCAGCCTGGGTAACAGAGTACGACCGTATCTCTAAAACAAATTTTTAAAAAACCATCCAGGTGTGGTGGCATGTGCCTCTAGTCCCAGCTACTTGGGAGGCTTAGGCAGGGGGATCGCTTGAGCCCACGAGTTCCAGCCTGGGTGACAGAATAAGAACCTGTCTCTAAAACAATAAAATTAATTTATACAAATTAAATGGCTTTTAAAATTATACAATGCCCTTCTCTTAAAGAGAGTTACTTCAAGCAAGCTGAAGTTAATGTAACAGAATAAAGAATGACTCTGCTTCATTCTGGGTTTAGTCCGAAATCAAGTAGAGGCCGATGCATAAAAAGTTAGAAAACTTTACATCAAGGTCAACATGTCAATACCAGTTTCAAAGTAATTTTAAAAATATTGTTAAGTTTTCACCTCAAGAGTGGAACCATCAATGTTAGTCATGTCAACTAACATACTTCTCAATGATCCCATTTATCATGAAGCCCTGTACTATTTCTTTGTTTTGACCAAAA